TCCCACACTTTTGGCCTTGTGCTACATGTAAACTCTGCTTAGAAAATCATTTAGAGCACTTCAACATGGGGTAATGGTTAGCTTGTCTTGATAGATCGATTAAGACTGTGTAGTAAGTTTGATTTTCACTGGGTGCTCTGCACTTTTTGGCCTTGTGCCATATCTAAACTATGCTTAGAAAATCACCATCAGATATTTAAGTTGAAATCAAAAGAATAGCTTGGTTAGAAATGGGAGAGAAATAAACAAAAAGATGAATAAAACTTGCACCAAAAGAAGTTGAATAATGGAAATAATTTGCATGGGAGAGAATGAAAAGTCAGTTAAAAGATAATCTTGGGGGGCTAAGTGAGATTAGTCCAAGCTGACTAAATGAAGTCAGAATGTTAAGGCAGTTAGATTGACTGGCCAGCATTCCATACGTATTTTGAAATGGGCTATGAGTGTGCAATGGTCACTGAGTGGGCATATGTGGGCAATGGTCAGTGAATGAAATGTCTGGGACAGACATTCCAAAGAAAAAAAGGTCAGAGAAAATGCTCCATGCTGGAAGGCAAATCTTTGGGGCCAATCTAGTACAAGACTAATATTTTTGTTTTAATCATTTCACTCAAAAGTAAGGAGAATAAAGCCACTCAGATGCAAGGGGTTACTGAAAGTGAAAGAGTCTGAAAAAAAATAATTTTGAGGACAATAAAAGAACAAAACCAAAAGAAATAGAAGATGGTCACTGACACTGCATATAAAACACTAGGGCAGAGACAGGAAAGAGAGAAAAGAGAAGAAAAAAGAAAAGAGACAGAAAGGGAGAGAGAGAGAGAAAAAGAAAGACAGAGAGAGAAAGATGAGGTGTCCATATGTACACATTTTGTTAATAGTAGTTTTGGTTTTTGAAAGTCTTTTTAGGAAAATATATAACAAAATGGAAAAAGTTTTTTTGCATCACACGTTTTATCGTTTAGGACTTCATTGGGCTAAAGTTTCTATATTGATATGATTACATGCTGAAATTTTAAATTTATATTAAAAATTTAATTTTTCAAAAATACGTGTTTCAGGTTTACAGTCTAGCTGATATCATTTTGCTTCTTTTTTGTTTATCTCTTTCGTTCTTGATATATAAAAATTTTATTTCATATATAAGGCAACAAAGGCGAGGTCAAAAAATATAGGAAATTTTCATAAATTTATCCTATACCTGCAGTATAAGACAACTGCTTATTGATTCTATAAAGATGATGCTATTCGAAATGTTGTTACTTACTGGATCCTTAGAAATTCAAAATAAACGAAATAACAAAACCAATTCTATATCATGTTTTTCCTTCACATGTCCTCTAAAAGAGAAACCATTGTTTTATTTACGTTTCATCATATGACCTCTTGCGAATACTGATTCTTTTTTCTTCTTCTTTTCCTATATCTAAACACTTACAAACAGCCTGGTGTACTAATGTCCATTTACTTATACTTCATTGACAATCACAAAATACCGCTAATAACAGTATGATAATAGTACATTCTATTGCTGTAAATGTAATTGTAACTTGCTGTTTACATTTTCTCAAGTGATTTTGCATGGATAAAATTTGATTTTGTTGATATGGAATTATTCTTATTATTATTATGCCAGTAATATACAAGGTAGAAATGGTTTTATTACTTTTATTATTAGTTTATTTGATAATGTGAATCTTTTCATGTATGTTATTCATTATCATACTGAGACCGAGGTCAGCCTACTGACAAACATCACACAGAATTTAAGGTTTCTTTTGTAGATTTGTAATAGAAGATGACCCTCAATTGTTAAAGAGTGATTGGGGGGGGGGAGTTAAAGGTCGTCTTATACGCAGAAATATATGGTATATTGTAATAAAATCAAAGAAACACATTCAATGTTGATTTAAAAACAGCTTATTTAAGGGTCCTGAATGTTCTTCCACTGCAAGAAAGACATAGAACCATTGAGGGACTGAGATGCAAACATCGAATAAAATAGAAACAGAAAAGAAACAATGTTTCTTTCATCTTTATTTAACAGAGAATAAGCTGTGTCAGAGATAAGTTCATTTAACACTGCAAATAGCTACAAAATCAAAACATTAAAAACTTGAGTTGTGTAGTTAAATAGCTCCGTCAAATCAAGTCTTTCCTACGGATATGATGCATAGTGCCAAACCCATTCAGAACTGTCTAAACTATACAACTGCTTTTTCAGACACATGGTTAAAAAGGCTTTGAGTAAATGAAACCAGTAGGTGTTAGGGAGGACCATCCTTCTTTGAATCTTGTAGACCGGCACTAAAGAATTTTAGCAAATAACAGAAACCACATCATTTGAGGACTTTCAACAGCGGCCACAACTAAAATGGATATCACATGTAACTAAAAGAGAAAATAATGAAGCCTAAGTGTCTTGGCAAAGATCATCCTTCTTTGAACCTTGTGGACTAATGCTACAGAATCACAAACAAAGAACTGTACCAAATAACAGAAACCACATCACTTGAGGACTTTCAACAGCGGCAACAACTAAAACGGATATCCCATCTAGCTGGAAGTGAAAATAATGTTATAATCAAGATATCACTACTTTAAAAACAAGGTTAGGATGGAATCCCCCCCTCCTCCATCAATACTGGAGAGAATGATATCAATTACTGGATTTGGGAAACTTATTTTCCTGAAGAATGGTTTTAATAGAAAGTTTTTATAAATTTTAACTGAAATTATCACTGGCTGATTGATGAATAAACGTCAAATTTTTTCTGAAGAGGAGATGGCTAATATTACCATTACCTCTAGCAATTTATATATATATATATATATATATATATATATATATATATATATATATATAAAAACAGAGAAATACCATTGGGTTTACTAACTATATATATATATATATATATATATATATATATATATATATATATATATAAAAAGAGAAATACCATTGGGTTTACTAACTATATATATATATATATATATATATATATATATAGCTTTATAATTTCTAAGCTTAAATCTTGCCTTTCACTCACCCCCACAACAGAAAAAACATGTACTATACAAACTTTAAGCTTGCATCATATTTTTTCTTTTGCTTTGTTTTACCCAATATCTAACCCCCATACTCTGTAGATTTTGAATTTACACCCGAATAATAGATTGAGTTTATATTAACTTTGAATCGGAGGATAATTTAATGTTCATCCCATGAAACCCAGTATTTTAAAAAAAAAAAAAAAAAAAAAGCAACTGTAATAAGCAATTCAATTCTCATATTTGCCTGACAAATTGGGAAACCATGAAACTTTAAGTTCCACTAAAAATGTAAGTACATGTGCATTAATATATACTTCATAGCTCCGTTTAACTACATTGAGCACTATTTTGTTTGCACCAGAAATTAAATAAATATATATTTGCTTATCTGCATATGCACGCTATTGCACGCATATAGAGTTGCTCATTTAGTTTATTTTCACACATAAACACACACACACATATATATGTGTGTGTGTGTGTGTGTAAAATGTGAATATAAACTATTCACACTTATATATAAAGTGTGAATATAAATTAATAAAGTGATATTAGCAGAAAAAAAAAAAAAACAGATTTCTCAAGTCCAGTAACTGTTATCGTTCTTTCTAGTATTGATTGGGGTTTTCTTCCTAACCTTTTGTTTGAAGTAGTGTGGAATGTCAACATCTTGATGTCAACTATTTTCTCTTCAACTTACATATGATATCCATTTTAGTCATTGCTGTTATTGTTAACAAGTGATGATGTTTCTGTTATTTGGTACAGTTCTCTCTTTGTTAATCTGTACAGCCAGTCCACAATGTTCAAATTGCTGTGATTTTTGCCAAGGCCCTCAGGTTTCACTTGCCCAAACCTGTTTTAACCATTGATTTAAGGAAACAGTTATAACTTTTTTTCCCACTTTGTCATACATTTTTCCCTATATATATATATATATATATATATATATATATATATTAATGTCTTACCTTTGCTACACTAGCTCTTAACAGATTGGCATTGGGTTTGAAATCAGAATTTTAGATTATTTACACTCCTAAGATTAAAGTGCCCTGCCTGTGTTTCTATTTAACCCATAGTTGGAGGGGAGAAGAAATCGATTTGTGCCTTTGCCAAGAACATTAGTATAAAGGGAAGCAGACTGCATGGCACAAGGTCAAGTTTAAAAAGCCCACATATACATAAACTAAGAACAAAAACTGCTCAAGCCTCCATGACACCTCTTGGGGACACTTCATGCACTAATTAATGACTCTAGCCATCTCTGGAAGGAAGAGTATTACCCGGGGGATGCCTGCACCTGGTGGTTGTGATGGTCGTGGGGGGGGGACTTCAGTGCATTAAATCTTAATGTGATATTTGAGAGAGTGTGTGTGCTGAAAAAAATTCTCAGACCATTAAAAAAAAATGGGGAGAGGGAGAGTTAAAAAGAAAATGAAATACAATGCGGGTTAGATATTAAATTGAGGGGGGATATGAGGACACCCCCCCCCCAATCATACATGTCATGTCAGTAAGTCATTCCGTTCTTGGTTGGCTGAATGCCCCCACTCCTTGTAATCAGTGCAAACATTTACAAAATTACTGAGATCAAATGTGAAGAATTCAGCTATGACTAGACGTAAAAGCTAAAAATCAAACTTGCATAAAAATAAATTTTATCATCAAAATCATTATGCCATTAGTAAGAAAGAATATTATATTGATTTGTTTTTGACAGCTTATCAACCCTTTTCAAGTTATTTAAAACCAGAAAATAATTTTAGATTGTAAGATTTTTTATTTTATGGGTGGTGATAATAATGGTTTAGTGATACAAGTTTTACTAATTAACCCATAGCTGGGGAGAGAAGAAGGGTATTTGCATTTAAATGAATATAACAAACAAAACAATCTCCAATTAACAATTCCAAGCCATTATCCATTACACCACCTGCACATCCAAGCTTACAGCACCTGGGATTCTCAAGTGGTCACCCATTTAGGTAATGATCATGATCGACATTGCTTAACTTTGGTGATCATACAGGAACCAGTGTTTTATCATGATGTGGCCATAAACCAAAAGAATATTGGAGAAAATTCTGATATAAAAATTATTTATGTATTTTCTGTAAAAACAAAGATGTGTGTGAAAAGTGCTTACATGTTAGCAAAAATTTTCACAATTTCCACTGAAAAAAATTTTAGGCAAAAAATACTTTTTTATAATGTTTTCTTCTCATATTCTCTCACCCCTTGCATCTTAGTGGCTTTATTGCCTTGCTTGGCATGTGGAACTAAAACAATCTACCCTAGTGGACGAAATAAAGGATTCAGTTTGAAATATCACCTGAAGAAGGCTGGAGACTACATCAGCTGAAATGTTGTGAATATGACAATAAAGATGAGGATAATTGTTGTAGTATACCTATAGACAATAATAGATATATCTCCATTCACATAAATACAGTAGTAAATAATGTATGTTGGTCTGCAGTTGGAGATTCATTGTGGAATTCACTTGACTCACTTCTAGCAGTTGATTACTTCTATGCACCACTGGCGAATCTTATATGTGTTGTTCTTGTTCTAAGTATTATCATTCATTATCAACCTTTGTGAGATTATTCTATTCAATAACCTTCCCTAGGTTACAACAATAATAATCCAAACACTGTAAATATTGTAAACATCCCCAAACAGAAAGTGCATTTTGAGTTTAAAGGGTTGACGGTATAATAAACTCGAAAGACAGGTTCTAAAAATTATGGAAGAGATGAAAGTAACAAACAAGTCAAAGAAGGGAGCTAAAAACTAAGAATAAATAAATAAATTACTATTTCCTTTACTTTTTACTTCGTTTGAAACTGTCAGAAGATATTAGGATAAATCTCACACTTTATTTGCGTTCATGTCATTACATCAAATACTTTTATGGTTGGGTAATCAATAACATAAGCCGTGTGTCAAATTTATTATTAATGGTATTAAAAAAGATGCAGACAAAATGTTTTTTTAAAATCTTTTGTTACCCTTTTTGATGAAGGGAAGATTGAAATAGCTGGAGAAAGAAAACAAGTTTGTGGGTTCAATCCCTTCTATGCAAAAATCTGCTTAACTCATAGAAGGGGGTGCTGACTTTCTTAGTCAGCACCCCCTTCTATGAGTTAAGCAGATTTAAAAAAATAAAAATCTGATATCTGGCCATTTTTCAAGAGTGAATTGTAGTGAGAAATTTTCAATATCCACTCAAAGATCAGTGCAGGGATGTAACATTTTGGAGGCACATTAATATCTATGTGAGTCAGATAGATATCTATGTCTCTCTCTCTCTATATATATATATATATATATATATATATATATATCTATATATCAGTTTGTTTATATATATATATATATATATATATATATATATATATATATATATATATATATATATATATATATATATATATATATATATATATATATATATATATATATATATATATATATCAGTTTGTTTATATATATATATATATATATATATATATATATATATTGTTTATATATATATATATATATATATATATATATATATATATATAGTTTGTTTATATATATATATATATATATATACATATATATATATATTATATATCACATTTATATATTATATATATATATATATATATATATAATATATGCTTGTTTATATATATATATATATATATATATATAATGACAATTATTTTAAGACATTTTTTATGTTTACACATTTTTTTTATAATACAAATATTTAAAATTCTGTTTCTGAATTTAGTGTCTTTAAACTTCAATTTAAATTTGACATTGCTAACCGAACACTCCTCTGTAGCCAAATCAGTTAAGGTACGTCAAGCTAAATGACGGTTCCGTATAGAATACAGGTTTGAATCCTGTCGGAGAACGAATATTTTCTGTGAAAATTTCTCGGACATTCAGGACATTAAATGTTGTTTAATACTTTTTATTATAAAACAGAGCATTTACTTAAATATTTGTATCTATAAAAAGAATGTATAAACATAAAAATGTCTTAATATATATATATATATATATATATATATAAATATCAAATCTCTTTTATATATATATATATATATAAATCAGTCTCTTTAAATCAGTCTCTTTATATATATATATATATATAAAATCAGTCTCTTTATATATATATATATATCTATATATAAATCAGTCTCTTTATATATATATATATATATAAATATATATATATATATATATATATAAATCAGTCTATATAATATATATATATATATATATATATATATATATATATATCAATGAGTCTCTTCTCTCTCTCTCTCTCTATATATATATATATATATATATATATCTCAGTCTCTTTATATGTATCACAATGTCTTCATATCTATATATGTATAGATATAGTGTACGATGGATAAATTGTCGTCTAAATGACACAAAATGAAACAATCACTGACATCTCATTTTAACAGATATATTTACCAAACTTACACAAAAATATCTTTAAATGCTAAAGAATAAATTTATTCAATATAATAGCCATTGGCTTCAACCATAGACTCCAGATAACTTTGGAATCTCTGGCAACTCTGACCTGGCATCTCAGCTTTAGTCATTTTCTCAGTGCCGTAAGCTTCCCAGTGCCTTTTCTATAATTACTCTCATGGTAATTGTTCTAATGAACTCTCCTCTATGATATGTAGACTCTATGAATTTAAGTGCAGTACTAGATTGGCAGCTAGGTCTCATCATTTTACAGTTGAAATGGCTAGATGTAACTAAGTTTTATGCTAAGTCCTATCAAAATTCTTGCTTGTGGAACTCTCTTCTGGTTTCTTGCTTTTCAGTCAAGTTTCATCTTAAAAAATTTAAATGCGATGTTAATCATTAGATTTTGTCGTCTTTTATTGTTCTTGCTACTTAATAATGTTTTTTCTTATATTCTTTCACACTCAGTAACCTTCTTCATGTTAGTGGCTTTGTTGCCTTTTTGGGGTTGGAAAAAAATAATCAAAATATATATTATATTTTATGATTAGATTAGATTACTGGTTTTAAACTTTTAATAATAAATAATAAATCTTATGTATATTTTTATTGATTTGTTTACATCTAAGTTTATATTTTTATTGCAATTTTATCCTTTTTGTAGTTATGCTGCATTTGATTACCCTAGAAGAGCGTTTCTCAACCGGTGCACCCAGGCGCACTAATGTGCCCAAAAAGGTAGTCAGGTGTGCCCCAAGTTAACAGAAGAGTAATTTATGAATTATTTTTATATTTAAAAAAGTCTATATTTTTTAGAACATAGAGATACCAATCACATGGCTTCCATGTCTAAGTCTTTGTCATTTGATATTTTAAACTGGAATCTAAATTCCTTAATCTTTAAGGAGGAATGGATAATCCTTTGCCTTTTGCCTACCTCAAGGGATTTAAATCAATCATTATTGGACTCTTTAAAAACAAAAAATAGAAGATTCTCCATAAATCCCTTTAAATGAAAACTGTACTGCTAATTTTCTTTGGGAATGCTAAACTAAATTTTTTTATTGTCAATGTCATGATCGTTTTTTTCTTTAATAAAATTTAAAATGTACCCCAGAGTTTTAGTTATTCTACAAGTGTGACCTGAAGTAAGATGGGGTTGAGAAAGACTGTCATAGAATATGTTAATAGCATTATTGTTAATCCGATCTTGAAAACCCAGGTTTATTTTAAAAATTGCAATGAAAAAGACAGGACATAGATATTAAACATGTCGATTTGTTAGAAATATTTTTAGTAAAAATTGATTTGCACTGAGAGATATATATCTCTTTTTTTCTTCTCTTCCATTGCAAGCAGGGGAGGAGGAGGAAGATGATGGCTCATCCCTAGGTTAGTATTTGTGTTAATTCAAATGTGGGCAGAAGAACTTAATGAAGAGAATGGCTAAGATTTGGGTTATACAAATATTTTCACTGCCGTTTCTGGGTAGGACTGGTAGCCAGTAGTACAACAAACTACAAGCTCCTACTCTCTCTCTCTCTCTCTCTCACATACACACACACACGGGGGTGCTGAAAAGTTCTTAGCATGATTTTGAAATTCACCTCCCCCCGCCACGCTCAAACTAAAAAAAAAATCTGTTTGTTCAACTGGTGATATTTTGGAAAGTGGGTTGGGCTTGGTGAATAGAGAGACACATACACTTAGATGCTTGATATAAGGGTGGGGTCAATAAGAGGGTTGAAATTTTTTTCAATATGTAATAAATGGGTGGCAGAGGTCTTAATAACAGGAAGGGGTCAGAAAATTATTTAAAGGGTCAAAAAGTGCAAACTTAATAACAAGGTGGTCATAATAAGCTCAGTGGGTGTTAGAAAATTCTCCCCTCCCCTCAAAAATAAACATCCTTCCCTTATATGTTTTAGGCATGAAAGAGCAGTGATTAGATGATTTTGCATGTGAAATTTTAACTGGATAATATTTGATCTATGCGATTAATATTCATTATTGTATTAAGTGCATTGACAATGGTAATGGTAATATTAGACATTTCCTTATAAAGTAATATTCAGCATTCACTGACCATTTGTCTTCTTTTGCTGTGTTCCTTCAGGATGTTAGTGATCATGGCTCTCCATAATTTCCAGTCCTTTATAGCTCTTAATAATTGTTTTTATCTCTCCTAAACCTTGTTCTGCTATCCACTCAAGCTAGCTGGTTTTCCTCTCCCCCTCTTGCTTTCAGTCTGTCCTGTGAGTATCAAATTTTCCGAGCTCTCTTTCCTCATTACATGTCTTAGAAATGTCAACTCTCTTTTCCTCATGTTAAGTATAAGTATCCTTTTGTTTCCATGTTCTCTAAAATTTCATCATTGTTCAATCCACAGCATTCTCAGAAACATATTTCTGTTGCTTCAAGTCTCTTCTTCATCCAACGTTCATTGCCATATAAGAGGACTAACTTGAATTACATTTCTTCATTCCCTGGTTATCAGACTGGGAGCAAAGTATTTATTCTCATCTCTAAGAATAATGGTAATATTAGATGTTTCCTTA